GCCAGCAGAGGAGGTGGAGGCAGGGCGGCAGCCACTCCACTCAGAAGCCAGGGGATCTGGACAAGAACAACTCGCTGTTGCGCTCTTTGGGGGATAAGGGTTTATTTACATCACAGATCAGGGAGCAGATCGAAAGCAGCGGCTCAATCAAACCCCGCTCCAGGTGCCCCCGAGCCCCCGGCGCAGCCCGAGCACAGGCACTGCCCACGGAGCCAGAACCGCTGCGGCGCTCGAGGCCAAGTCATTTATACCGAAATCACGGCTGTCAGGGTTGTTTATTTGTTTACTTCGATTACGGAGTGTAGCTCCTGCACTGCAAGAAAGGATCTTTAAGCAAGACAAATGACCGGTGCCCACTCGCGCTCTCTCCTGCAGACGACAGCAGCTCCTTACGACTGCACGTGACGGGTTTGTTCATAACTCTTGTCTCAGCTGCCTTTTTCTTCTCAGAGGGGAAATGTGCACGCGGTCTTGAAACCGTGACTTACTTCACCACCAGCAGCAGAGGTCTGCCACAAAACCAACCACAACTCCAGTGCAAGGAGGTGCTGGGGGGGTTTCCCACTAGGACACTGCAGGCCACCAGCAGCCTGAGGGACAGAGCAGCCTGTCCTAGTCCGTGTGGGCATCACCAGGCTAGGTTAATTAACAGGGCTGCTAGAACAGAGCCCTGGAAAAGGCTCTATACACATATTTAGGAAGAACTTAACATTTGCCATAGCGTATCACGGTACAAAAGCACGCATGAGAAGCATCACGCAGTACCCCGTTACTCTGCAGCAGGGCGTCCTGTGCTGTGACACGGCAAGGGACAGCCGTGCCCCAGCAGGGACGTCTCCTTACCCCAGGATGGTCCACAGCCAAAAAGCACAACTGCCACAAAACAGCTTTTTCAACCCAAAATGGACGGTCCATTTATAATGTAGTTTTCTACATGTAAGCCCTAAAAAATAAGTCACACCAATGTTCAAACATAATATTTTTATTTGTGGATAAAAATTAAGGCTCACAGTACTTTATCATTTCACAAGCAGAAAAATGTTAAAAATTGAGAATGATGGGGAATGCCCCCAATACAAATTCCTCTAACTGCTGACATGTTTTACTGAAGACTCGAGGTGAACAATTGTACAGGGCAGCTACAGTTATTAGTTTGTAAACTAGGTGCTAAATATATATGTAATTTTTTTTTAAGAAATGTGAACAGAGTATTATGTTTCTCTCCACTTCTGGCTGTCCGATACACATGGATTCCATAAAAACACTCAAGAACCGCTGGGATAACACCAACCTTCCTAAGAACAACCCATCACGTCTACAATGCATGGCACAGGTGCAAACAGGGGGAAGAGAGCTAAAGATCACAAATTTCATTTTGATAAGACATTTTGATTATAGTGCAATAGTTTATGCCTAAAATTTTCAATATTCAACTTTCTGGCTTGAAAAACCCAAAATCAAAGCATGTTCCTAAAGAGCACAGGAATTGCTATCAAGCTCCATTTCATTACAGGCATGAAAGCAACCCAGGTGATTAAAAGACGGTAAAAGTGTATGCCAAACTTCAGTATACACACAGAATACAGGTATACATCATGCCTATAGTTAAGATGCAACTCAAAGAAGGACTTCCAAGTGTGCAACATGCAGTGAATAAAAGATTTCTGTCCAAGTATGCTGCAAGTTTGTGGTCCAGAGGTGCAACAGTTACTGTAACCCCCAACCCAACGGGCACCACCATCACCATGCAAGTTTTCTTGTGAGTCACATCGTAACTACGGGACTATATACTGCAGATTTATTCACACGGACACCAATTAAAGTGTCCCAGTAAAACTGAGAAAGGTTTAGGTTTAAGAGGTGCTCTATATTCTTTGCATTACTTCTTAGTAATTCCTATATTCTTTGCATTCATTACTTTTCCATAATTCCTATATTCTTTGCATCACTTTTTAGTAATTCCTTCTGTTTTGCCTATTTGCTGTCAAGGTAACACAAACTGGCAGCGGCAGCAGCAAGAGCAAGCCTACTTACAATAAGCAACAACTGCTATAGCATTAAAAGGCTGAAGGATTTCTGCATCACACCAAAAGGATTCATTTCTTGTCATTGCACCCTTTACATCTGAGATACCAACACAGTAATGAAAACAACTGTCCTCAGCTTTTTCTGACAAAAAGTTAAAATGTACTCTAAGGCCATAATTTCACTAGGGAGCTTTCTTTTAAGATAAGCTACAAAGAAAACTTGTTTTCAACAGAACCCATGCTATAATGGATTCCGCCACAGCAAACACCGATTTACAGTGTTTTTGAACAACTCTTGCAGGTCACAGCCCAGTAATAAAAGAACATTCGTATTGATAATACTTCACTTACATCACAAAAAGCTCATCCAAAGGGCTCAAAGAGGTTATGATGGATGTGGATGAGAATTACCACCCCCATTTTATAAAGGAGGCGACCGACATACCGATTAAGACCAATTTGCCCAGGCTACAGGAGCTGCCAGGAGCGGGGCTGCGAGGGGGGGCAGTTTCCTTGGCCACTGGTCTGCTGCTCTCCTGTGTCCCCAAAGGGTTTCGAAGAGCAGAGGGCTGTAACACTCCATCTCCTTCCCCAAGTGAAAAACCACCACTCAGCGACACAGGCAAAAGAATAAATTTACACGTTAGCCATTTCCCATAAGCAGAAACTAAATTTCCATAATGTGTAGGCAGTAAATGTAAGAACAGGAAAATGTGTGCAATCAAAAGAATATAGAACAAACACTTTCAACCATTATTCCAGTTCACAAATCTATGCAAGTGGAAATATAAGTAGCCACAGCCATGAAATACTCCATGTTATTGAACAGTTTAAAATAAGTATTTCACCCCCATAAAACTATGGTAATCTTGCAGCTGAATGAAATGCAACTGCTTAAACTAAAAAAAAAAAGGATAAGAGGGATGAGCCTGAATACACGGTTACGGTTCCACCGGTGGAGGTACCTGGCAGGCACCCAGCAAGCTGCTCAGGTCAGAATTTAACTGTTACTTCACGGACAGCAATTGCAGGACATGCTCAAAATTCTCAGGTGGATGGAAACAGCTTTGCCTCAACACATCAGAAAAGCACAGGTGTCCAAAGTAACCATCTCGCAAATTATTGCCTACTTAACTACATAAACAGCAGAATACAAATGATGGAAGGGACCTATACGGATTGGGTAAGTCACCTCTGATACCATGACTCCACGCTAACGACTATAATGATCTTAAAGATCAAGCTAAGTACAATACATACAAAAAAAAAAATTCCTGTAAAAGCAAATGCGTAGAAAATAAACTGTCATCAAGTATAATGAAACCACATCGGCAGCAGGCTGCGAAGGGACTGTTGCACAAGCGTCTGAGGACAGAAACAGGATTCGCAGATCCAGTAGCTCTGGTGCAACAGCTTCCCAAGCTTCACTCCCATTTTTATGCTTCTACCAGAGTCCCCAGAAGCACCCAAAGATACTGCACTGTCTGGAATCTGACATATGCATACATGCAGTAAGTGTATACTTAAGGTTAACCTGCGTATACACGTCTGTTACCAACACGCACACCTACCGAGCGATGCAAGAGGGAGCGAGTACAGAAAGACAGACAGGTCGTTTCATAATATTTTAGCACTACTCTCTTGGAGCTCAACGTTATTGCCATGGGCTAATACGTCAAACAATATAGAACAAGCTTAACAGCATACAACAGATACACAGTAATTCCACAACTCAACAGTATCCACTACTCCATTTGGCAAAATATTTATTTATAATAAATCCGTTCAAAAGCAGTTGGTCACAAAGAATTCATTTTACATTTTTAGGCTGTAACAATGCTTTTGGTAGAAGTAAATAAACTGCCTCTTTTTACACAGTGTACAAAAACAAAGAGACATTGAAATGACAGTTAACAATAAAACACGTGAAAACAGGAAGAATCGGTAAGACAAAGGCAAAAGCAATAGGAATCTGTCTGCGCACCGCCAATGCTGCCATGATTATTTACCCGTACAAATCCTCAGCCCCACTTCATTATCATCCCCAGCACAGCTCTTAACTGCACGTTTACGCTCCAGGAGAGGAATCTGATGCGATGTAGCAGCTCCAGTCACTCTTTCACAGTACTGCATGTCAACACTGGGAATGGTTTCTGATATGATTTAGACTGCACACAGTACTTTAATAGAAAAAAGTTAATTACTCCCACTCCGTAGTTCCTGGTGGCTTTGATGTCAAGTCATACATCACCCGAGAAATGCCAGGAATCTTCTTAATCTCTGACACCATTTTTAACACAACCTATTGGGGGGAGGGAAATCAGAAGAAAGTATGTAAAACACACCTGATGAAAACTATCTGAGAAAGGCTTAAAAAAGGAAAACTTTGTTCACACTAATTCTGTTATACAGAAGAGAGAAAGGGCCTATAGCTATTAGCATATTACCACCAATTAAGAAATAAAATCAACTTAAAGAAAACTTCTGGCTTCATATCTGCAGTTACATTTGGAACTTGCTGATTTTTGGCACTGATAATAAACCAGGGTGTCGATTGCAATACACTTCCCTCAAGGCAGCAGCTCTTCAGCATCAAAACTATTTCTTGAGAGTTCAGCAGTAACACAGGCTGTTACTATCAATCATTTTCAGACTTTTCTCAGACCATCATCTCCAGCTGAACCATCAAACACAAAGCAACAGCCTGAGCAAAACCCCTTTCAAAACAAAAAAGGGAGCTCTTAAAGGTTAAAAAACCCAGAAAGTGGCATCCGAAGGAAAGAGTTTCCATTCAGAGGTATTCTCCAGAGTTCACAATCAATTCATGTTAGCAGAAGTATTCTAGATGAGAATTTGCTGATCCTTTGAAGTTCAGCTTCCTTAAAAATACCACAGTTCATAACAATGCCACTTACATGACATGCTGTTTTATAGTGCAAGCATAAATTACACAATGCATTGCTCTCCATGGAAAAACACAGAAAATTTTTAATCAAATACGACTTTTCCCCATAAATACAGGTATTTTCCACAACCTTTACTATTTTGTTACGACGTTATTACCTAGCCTTAGAGTGACCATTTTACATTCTGAAGAATGTGGGGGGTTTTTGTTTGGTTGTGGGTTTTGTGGTGTTTGGTTGTTTTGTCTGTGGTTGTTTTTTTTTTTAAACACAAACTTCAAGGTCAAATGAATCCTCATTTTATATAATGGAATAGTTTACATGGTAACTTAACCTTGACTCATTTCTTTTTAAATGGATAGGCTGCCTTAAAGTAGAAGACTTCAGTTACATACAATTACTAAACAATGCCTATATGCTTTTAAAGTATGTTTAAAAAAAGGTCAATCCTGTTCTTCATCTACACTGCATTCCCAGAGAGACAAAGCACTTGAAACTGGACATGGATAAAGTTTCCCAGAAAAATATGCCTCAACTTGACTCCTAAATCCTTTTAGTGACCTAAACAGGAAACAGCACAGTGAGATGTTAAACGGCAGGTTCCAGTAAAATCAGAAGTGGCAATCAAGGGCAATTCTGTAAGTCAGGACATTTCCAATTACTAATGCAAAAAATTCGTTTCAAAATCCCAGGAATGGGGTATTCTTTCTTTTTTAATTGATGCTATTTTGGCTCAACGCTGTTGGAAAGCCTTTAAGTTTGTCATACCCATCTGCCAGCTTCTCATTTTGTTACAGGTTTTTTTCCCCCAAAACACCACCATATTCTTCCTAACGAATACTATTAAAGAGAGAAAAAATTGCAACAAGATCAAAGTCAAGGCAAGCCATCAAGAGAGAGGGAAGAAAGTCAAAATGAGTCATCTACAATACTAGCTCATGTTGAAAAGAAACTTGAAAGACATATTACCTCTTCTGGAACCTCATTACCAGGAGTTGCTGCAATACCAGTCATAAAATCACTTGTAATAAAAGTTCGAATAACCACAGATCTTTGACAGGAAGGTTGTTTCTGTAGGGGGTCCCGATCAAAATGCAACGGTGTCAGTATTATTGGCATCTGGCTAATTTTTCCAGCATAACCTTCAGAAAAATAGCAGTACAAAGTGCTTTAATTTGGTTTAAAGACACAAATGTGATAGAAGTTTTACAGAATTTCCCACATGTACTTCAAACTATATACTCGGAGCTACATTTACATCTTCTGGGATCCTTTTGCTACTGCTACCACACCTCGGAAGATAACGTCATTATACAATTATGTGATTAGTGGTGCATACACTAAAACTACTCAAATTGCCACTTGAAATAATCTTCAGCATTTGCAGGCATGCAGAACAAAACCAGATAATCTCCCGTCATCCCTGTAATTCGCTGTGAATGCAATTTAAGATCTGCTTTCCTTCCCACCTAACATAACCATGGGGTTTTATCTATCCCCATATCAAGCCCAGTAAAGGGCCACTCACAAGTATCTCTGTGTCTCTGACATATTCAAAAGAAAGCTCTTAAGTATCCCTGTTGCTGGTGGTTGATAGGTAACTCCAGACAATCATCTCTCACTTTTTTTTTAAATATCTCCTTCTGAAAGCCGATACACAGACCCCCTCATTTCACTGTTTAAATGATCTGGAAGTTTGAGGTTCGGGTGCGTGGCAGCCTGCAGAGCCAGGAGAACACTGATGCAGGCTCTCACCCTCTGCTTGCACCGGCTTGAGCTGTTGGTACAAGGAGTCTTTTTTCACTAAATAACTCGAGTCTTATTTTTGGGAGCAATTCATTCACACAAAGCCAACTGTCACCAGAAGTTAGCGAGACACATCTACAGTTTTATAAACACAATTTACAGTGTTATCCTCAGCCTTTTGAGGCTATTTTTGTACAAAGTATGGTAAGACAGCCTTGCAAACAGAATACGTATTTTCAAATTTTCAATTTTGTAACTTGATTTATACAAAATATAGT